CTCCATATGTTCCATCCCTAGAGAACAAGCCACACGTTTTAACCTTATTATTTTTACCTTCCTAGTATTCTCATAGCTTTAGTCTCTTTGATAATCCTCCCACATTCAGAGAAATCTTGCTACAAGGTCACCCCAGGCTTAATACCAAAAAGTCTTTCCTCAGTCCCAAGGCCAGTTAACTCCACAGCACCCTATAGTTCCTTATAGCACTGTTCTATAGTTAGCTGTTTCTGGGTCTATTTCCTACACAAACTTGGGGCCAAAATGCTGAAAAGAGACTTAAGAGTTGTTCTGCAGTCTCACCAGCCAGCTAGTGCCTGGTAGGGAAGTGGTACTTAGATAAATGTTTCTTGAATAAAATTCTAAGACAACTTATATAGATCTTTGGGAATCTGATTAAAGCCAAACATGTACATTTATATATAATTTTACCTATAATTTTAAGAAATCTGTAAAGTGCCTGCAATTCCTATATTTCCCAAGTTGAACTGCCTGGTTTAAATACTCTAGTTGTATCTTAGCTATAAAATGGGACAACTGGGTAATGAGGTATTCAAATCTAATCTAGAACAAAGGAAGAATTAGTAAAAGATGTTCCTTTCAGAGCAGAAAGGATAAGAGGTGGATATGGACTACCACCTTGTTTTATACAAAAACGCTTCCACTACAAATCTTATAGGATCAGGATAACCTTTATTAAATAAAGATAGTGCAAATTTTCTCAGAGTTGTACCTGGGATGAAGATGTGGGATAGAACCTTAAAGATACATTTTTTCATCCGATTAGAAAAAATAGGATAGTTATATAATATACCTGGAAATAATATTAAAATTATCTGCATTAAGTGCAACTAGCCCTGTGACACATAAGCCAATGTTCAAAAACACTCTCCATGCTCTTTTCCAAAGAGTTTTATTCTGTAGGATAGGTATGTCCCTTACTCTGCATACAAGAGCAACAATTATAGAACCTGGTTAAACAATAATACCTCAAATCATGCCTGGAATTGTCACTAAAGTTCCACATATTTACCATTATAATTAAAAATAATAAACCAGAATGAAATTAAGACTTACAGGCCTGTTGTCAGCTTCTTAATCAGGTCCAGTACCCACAAGTTTGAAGGACAGTACCTCTTAGAGGAGGGTAGGTCAAAAACTTTTCACCATGGAAGCAAGAGGTAAGGAACTAGAGTTCTGGCAATGTTTGCTAAAATAGTATATTTGTGTAGATTAGTATTTTTATACATTGCCACTTTAAAACTTTACATCAAGGAAAAGATGAGACTAGTATTTAGCTATCTCCTCAGGGTCATTTTGTTAAATGCCTCAGTTTCCTTTTTGTGAAATATCTGGTATTTCACATTTTCTCTATACACACACAAAACAAATGTCTAATGACTTTATCATGCAGTTAGAAAACATTCACATGCTCAAAGGAAACAATCCTGTATTGTATCATGTCAGATCTTGGCCAAGAAAACATAAAAACTTAAGATGCATGGTACACTGTAATTCACCTTTAGAAAAAAAATGCAAAGTATTTGTACTCTGCACACATACAACTTTGATTTCTAAGAGTGCCTTATCCTTTAAAAATCCACATCTAATGTTTTTGTGCTGCTTAACTAAAACCAAGAAAAATTTAATTTATGCAAACAAACTAAAATATCTGCTGTAGTTAAATACTATTTTGAAGCATGATAGTATCTTCATGCCAATTCTCTACTATATGACTATAATTAATGATTTTTCACCATCTATTAATACGCCCTTACGTCTTTGAGCCTACCTATATGAAAAAGGCCTTTTAAAAAGAGTATCTTTCACAGAAGTAAGAATACTAACAGCAGAGCTCAGTGCCAGCCAAGTGATAACTGGTTGTCAGAACAGTATATACAATAGAGGCTAGAACTATCTGTCAACCCTAGTCCTTTCTTGAGCAGGCTCTCTTGAGCAGTTTTTTTTATTCTTTTTTCATCTATTTTTCTGTCACTCTCCCTCCCTAACATGGAAGCTCAACCAGGACAAAGATATTTTCACAGCTTCTCCAGGACACAATAAAATGGTCAAAATACTAACTTTAACATATTTTTAAACTTTCTTTTATTTATATTTACACAGCTAAATATCAAAATGATCATCATAATTATAACACTTATTTAGCTGATACTCATAATGTTGAGGCACAGCATTATCCAAAACTATACATTGGTTTCTTCTTGGGTCATAACTCAATAAAATAAGTGCTTTTCAAAAAATATTCACTTGGAGCTAAAATTAGTACTCCACACAGCAGGGAAGCTAGACACTTAGTTCAGTGGTGCTACCACCTGCCCTGCAAGTGCAAGGTCCTCAATTCATCCCCAGTACCACCAACAAACAAACAAACAAAAACATCTCATATCAACACAGGAGAGAAGAGTAAGGGAGTAAAATGGGACAAAATATCAATGCCTATTTGTAAGTATACCCTTCAATCTAATATTTGTGAAAAAATATTTTTACCTAAATAGTGATCATCTGAATTGACAAAAGCATGTGAGGTCAATTTTCTGAGGGCCAAAGAAAAAAAGAAAACTACTACAGATCTTCTGAAAATAAATACACTAAAATAGGGTCAGCAAATTTTTTTCATAGATGGTCAGATAATAATTATTTTGGGTATCAAAATCCCTGTCTCCTTTATAACTATTCAATTTTGCCACTGTAGTTGGACAGTAGCTATAGACAATAGGTAAATGAACAAATGTAGCTGTGTCCAATAAAATTTCATTTACAAACCATGTGGCTAAATCTGGTAAACTGTAAAACTATATACAAATATACACATTCTCTGCTATAACAATGTTTATGTACATACCTTTTATGATTCTCCCACAGTAATTATTACAGTGGTATCTCAGGTCACCAACGCTTTTGTTTGCAAACAGTATGGTTTGCAAACCAAAGTGCTTGGAAAAATTTTATTTTTGTTTGCAAACTCTGCACTGGGTGACGAACACGACCATGACCATCTTTTCCAGAATTGTGGCATGAATTAAATTTACGAACTGCAATACCACTGCATTTGGTTAGAAAGATAAAATATCACTGGAGATTAGCAAAGTAAAAAAGTAAATTATGCTCACTAAAATTCTATTTTGAAAGGAAAATTGATCTCATAATCTCTATGACCTAGGGGAAAATATCTACTGAAGAGAAAGAGAGCAGGTTGGGTATGGATGCAAGGTGAAGGAACACTATCCATAATTTGTATTCTCAGAACTACTTAGAAAAACTAGTACCAAACACAAAACACGTGTAAGACACATCTGTGCCCTCAAGAAATTCATGACACTGTTGATGTTTTTTCCCACTGCATTGCAAAAAGTATAAACCTTAAGGGCATATGAACTTACAAGACATCTTTTAAAGGTGTTCAAAATCTAGGCTTCAATAAAAATAATTTTAATGAAGATTTACACTTTCATAGACACAAAGAGAAAAGACCACACAATCGTATCATATCCAGAATATATTTTCCATTTTCATTCTTTTTACATCGATTTTGCATCCCCCTTAGTAACTATGTCTCACTACATGGGTACAGCCTCTTGAAAGGATTTCTCAGAACCTTACTGAGGAGCAAGAAAGGTAATCTTGAAATGGAAAATTACTAAGGTAATTCTGTCCCCCTAATCCTTTTTCTCCACCCATTTTCAAAAGTGTGACTCTATATTTAGTTCCTTTTAAAAACAGTATACCAATAAAGAAAAATTCTTTAATTCTTTTTTGGGAGAAAATACTACTTAAAAGCAGAAAAATAAATCAAAATTCACTCATTAGGGCCAACGAAATGAAAGACCAAGAAATAGACACCCCCCAAAAAAAACTATAATTTTCAAGCATTATAAAGGAATTTTAATTTTAACATAAAAAATGAGAGACTTCTCCAAATAAATAATAAGGTAGGATTTAAAAATCTTTAATTTACAATAGGCATATAATTTTAAATTTTTAAAGTTTAAGAACTGAACAGCCTTTTTATATATGAGAATAAAATTATTCCCAATTGGGGACTATATTTAAGATCTTCTCATTAGGGAAAACAAAAACAAAAACAAAAACATAAACATAAGAAGGATTCCACTACCTTAAACTGCCATAGATGGTGTGTATATATATGTATGTATATATATATATGTGTGTGTAAAAATAAAGTGAGTTGATCTGTTTTCCAATAAAACTTTACAAGCACAAGCAGACTTCAGTCGGTTTGCTTTGAACAACCTTCTTTTTAAACTGTTAGATTATGTAAAGTTACTAACAAATAAGTGATAAAAGATAAGAGATAAAACTACATACAATTTTTCTATCAAGTCTTAGTTTCTACCAGCAGTAAAAAATGTTACAAGTAGAGAAGTTAACAGAGATGACAGGAAAGGGAAAAATGGTTAATATGTTAACAAAACCTGTTTCTTTAACAATCATTCCATTTAAGTGTTCCATACGAGAGAACAGACAGAAATCCAGAAGCGGAACACAATGTACGTAAACAGAATGCTAGGTGAGTTCATATGAGACAGACAGGCAATAGTAAGCTATAGAGATAGGCTGAAAGCATGAGGAGAGCTTTAAAATATGACTAGTTTGGAATCAAATGGTTCAGAATTGAGGAAGAAGAACAAACACGAAACTCGTAAGGTGTGTTTTGTAGTAAACACAAATTACAAAAGAATGTACAAATTACAAAAGAATCTCATTAATAGAGATGTTAAGTTATGGGGCAGTGCAATGGGGAGATTAGACTTTTACAAATCTTCAGCAGTATGCTAAATAGGTCTGAAAGAAGGGGCAGTAATTGAAAGCTATTTCAGTATGAGGGGTCAGAGATTGCAAAGCAATTTGTACACCTGATGAGACGGTTGTTACTGGTCCTCTATACTATTCCACCTCCAAAATTTAACCAGTGTCCAAAATTACCTTAAGCTTTCTTATATTTTTATCTAAAAACTTACTGAATCTTCCGGAGGTCTCTGGATTTTCCCCCAATCCACAGAAGGTCCTTTTTCTTGCAAAAATCTATGAAATAGCTTCCGAAATCCATCAAAATCTTTTTTAGTGTGCTGTGAAAATAGAAGTCATTATTACAACCTGCTTAGTATTTAATAAAAACAGATATAAACCATACTTTTAAGACATCTTTAAATGAAAGTCTTGTATTATTAGAATACAGAGAATTTTTCACACTCTAATTTAAAACTAAAGTGTAGAAAAGCTAATAGAACCACATTTAAAGGAAAAGCCAAAAACCTTCCCCATCTCCTATCAGTACAGTATCATGTAATTTGAATACCATTTAGTTCACAGGAATTTCAACCAATACCTTTCTCTACTCCTATGAGGAAATTAATATTTTTTTCAGATAATTTTATTACTATATGTTTTAGCACATAATGTTCACAATCCTTATGGGAAGTTGATATATGTACATAATACATCTGAATTCCTTTGTTCATTCCCTTCCCTTCCCTCCTTCCCCCACCATCTGTCTCTTCATCTCCTTCCTTTTTGTTTTTTCTTGTACATGCTTGCAGTACATAATGTTTATATTCCCTGTGTGGAGCTGGTATATGTAAATAACACATCTTAATTATTTTTGATCCCCTTTCCCTCACCTCATGCCCTCCATCTTTTTAAAACAAATTTTTTTGGGTACATTTTAGGTATACAATACAGTTACATTCATCACTGGAATCTTGTACCTTTATATGACGTATCTTGGTTCTTATTTTTTTCCCATTCCCCTAGTCTCCCCAAACCCCTTCCCACCATCTTTTGATCTCCTACCCCTTTGAGAAAGATCTATCTTCCTACTTCCCACTTTCCATCTCTTATTTTGCTCTTTGTTCTTACTTGGGTTTCTCACATAGGAGAAAAAAACGCAATATTTAAATTTGTGTGTCTGATTTATTTTACTAAATATTATGGTCTCAAGGTGTATCCATTTTCCTACAAATGACTCAGGTTTATCTTTCTTTATGGCAGAGTAGTACTCCATGGTCTGTAAATACCACATTTTCTTTATTCATTCATCTGCTGATGGACATATAGGCCACTTTCAAGATTTAGCTATTATGAACTGTGTTGCTATAAATATAGGTATGCATATATCATTGTAATATGGTATCTTTGTCAAAAGAACAAAAATGAACAAAACAGCTAACTAAAAATATTAAGTACAAATTGAAATTAGAAAAAAGGATATTCTATTGATTCACAAATCCCACTAAACACTGACAACTATTTCTCTATCGATGATATCAAAATACAGAACAAATAAAACATAATCCTGTTCTAATTTTCAGTGACTTTGCAAACTTTCTACGCTTTAAAAAAAAGATTTAAGTTTCTACTATGGGAAAATGTTGAAATTCTTAATTGTTAAGTGATGCTAATTTTTTGTTTGATGTTATCATACATCTAATACTTATTTCAGGCTTGACAATCACCACTGGCAGCAACCAAGTCTGTAGACAGAAGCAAAAAAACACTGTAAAGTCCTTACCTCAAATTCATGTGAGGGTGCTGTGGTAAGTATTTTTTCTAATTCCTTCTTCACAGATAATTCTAGCTCTTGTCTAATGACTTCTTGGAATTGAGAAGCGCCATCTTGCGACATTGCTTTGCTAAGATCTTAAAACAAAAATATAAAACTGTAAACTGAAAAACCAATCACTTAAACAGCTATAGAGAATCTATTTCTGGTAAAATAAGAAGGATTTAGAAATGAAAAGGACTTGGTCCTATGGTCCTATGATCCCCTGGCAGGATTTTAGCAGGAACAACTAATTAGGATTATATAATAAAAGAAGCTCAAAATTAAACATTTCTGGGTAATGAGACAGGAGAAAGTAAAAAGATTAACCTACATTTGAGCACATAATTCCATTTCTACGAATGTTTCCCTACTAGCTATCAAAAGTGGAGAAAAATTAGAAACAACTGGAATAACATTAATAACTGCTGCTTCAGAAGAGAGCTGGGGGTGTTGACAAATTCACAGAACCAAGACTCCTTCCATCTCTCCAGTTTGTAGGGGAAGTAAGAGCCTTATTAGGCTTTCTGGATAATCCTGAGCAGAAAGAGTTAAAACTTTACTGAGGGAGCAATTAATGATAGAAGAGAAAGCTGACAGGCCCAGCTGATAGCTGAAATGCAGGCCAGTCCCTAACCAAGTTAGCCTTCCCATGCACCCCTACCTTCAATAAAATGCAAAATAGAGTAAGGGGTGGCCACTTAAAAGACAGCTCTTATTTAGTATATAATACACACAGACACAAACGCACACATGCGCACGCGCACGCACACACACAAACACACACACACACATATTCTCTCTTTATGCCACTGCATTACAGTCACACACATTCCTCAAACTTAATTGCTAACTCAACCTTGTATGCTTGTACATAAGGTCCCTTCTAACCAACCCATAAATTCTAGAGATAGGACCATGACAGGGCATGAGAAAATCAAATAAAGACCACTTAGGAATGTGCATGTAGACAATGGTGTGGTGGGGTTAGAGTCTTAAGGCCTGGGACCCATCTATGACAATCCAGGGAACCAATCAGGTTATGGCAAATTTTCAGATAGGGGAAAGGGCCCTGATATCCCATAAACACAGCCGGGGACAAAGGGCCCGTGAATATCTGGCTCCAGGTCCGCTGCACTCTCAGGGTAACTTTCTGTTCCCTTTTTTCTTTCAAATAAAGTGTTTTTGTTTTCTTTCTAAACTTGTATCTTTAATTCTTTATGGGTACCAAGTTTACTATCCCAGTAAGCTGCTTGCCCTAGTGGAACAGCAGTTTAATGCATACTTCCTAGATGCAATACAGTCCAGATGAAAAGTTTAAGGAATTTTTTTCATTTTAGAACAGAACTACTCCAATTTCATATTCCCCATTAAAGGACTTTTTGGGAGATATGGGCAATTCCAAGGTTTAACTACTTCCATATATCAACATTTTTACTTCTAAAGAGTATAGGACTGACTGTCCTCTTCTGGTCTTCAATTTGAGCCAAGACTTTTCACTGCTTTTCTGTGTCAGATTAGACTATCAGGGATTTTGGTATAGCTAGGCACATTTGTGACAGATAGATCTTATCAGAGGTGACAGGAATGCCTGTTAGATGAATATAAACAAAAGTAGAAAAACAAAGAAAAAGAAAACAACCTAGGCCCAAATATCTTGGGAGAAAACACCAACACAGGTTGTTGTACATGTTTACTATCTGGAGAATAATCATTCTACGTGCTGCTCATAAAACAAGGGACAATTATATTATTGTCCACTCTTTTATCCTCAGGACCTAATTCGATCTTATTCTATAAATTTATAAAAGTTTAATCTTATAATAAAACATTTCATTTGATATCTAGTGATTTCTACAAATGCTGATTAATTCAGCAGAATCATATTTTCAAAAGGCAAAAAACAAACCTTTCCACAGTGCCCACACTACAAAATATTTCATTTACTATTTGAGCAGGAAGAGGAAACATTTATATAGACAGAATTAAAGTCACTATCATCTATATTTTAAAAATACTTTTGAGAACAGGCATTAGTAAGCCTTGTAACTCCTGCAGTAATTTATTTAATGCAGTCAACATTTACCTCTCCCAAATATATAAAAATGTTAACAAATGAGATAAACAAAGCTCTTCAAAAATAGACATGTGTATACACTTTTCATCATATTAAAACCCTAGAGAAAAAAAATCCAAGGAAACTTGATGACAGCATACAATTCAACCCCAAATAGCCATTTTATGTGTATTTTTTATAGCCATAAACTACAACATAGCTAAGTTTAAAGACTCCAGTAAAATTACTAGGTAACTTCTCTGTGCGCTAGTAAGAAGCACCATGCAACATAACATAAAACTATATTTTGACTAATAAGAGGCAATTTGATTATCATCTGTAAAAATCAGTGACAACAGATGAGCACATATACATGAGCTATGACAGGTAATTAAAAGCTACTGCAAAATAGTTTAAACTGAGGTAACATGACATCTTTCACACCTGTTTATCCCTTGGTAGACATAGTCATTAACTTAAAATATGTCACAGGTGAAGTTTCCCAACCTGATGCCTCATGTGTACCTAGCCTCTTCTTCAATCTTTAATTCTCATATTAATGTCTGGAAAATAATTTGGAAAAAAACATTTTTATATTAAAGAATACATGAATTATTTGATTCTAAGTCACGATCTCGATCAATTAAATAGATTGAAAAATAACTATACAACCCCACCCCCCCAATATCAGGGATCAAACTCAGGACCTTGTGCTTGCCAGACAGGCACAGACAGCATCATAGAGCTACATCTTTGCCCCTATTACAATGGTTTTAAACTAAATCTTTTTGTTAGACTCAAAGACATTTTAAACTAAATTTTTTTGTTAGACTCAAAGACACCTTACAGATTTGCTATTTTGTTGATGAAATTAGAAGACTAGCATTCATAGTCATTTTCCCTAAAAATTAGAGATGGAAACATTAAACTTATACTCTGGGAAAATGCTAAAAAAAGATAAAACTAAATGTAACTGCAAAGTTTAAAAATAACTAATTTAGCTATTTAAAATTTGTCTAAATGTGAAAAGTGAAAAAGAACTTTATATAGGCTTTCCATGCAGAAAAATAGCCTATTACTTGCTTTCAAGTGAAAATATACAGAATGTGCCATAATAATACTATCATCTCTACCAGTCAAGTTAGGAAAGGCAGGCTGAAAGATCACATTAATACTATTGGTTGCAGTAGGGTTTGCAAGGGAATATATTTAATAGAGGATACATAATTTTTTTTTTTTTTTTTTTTTTTTTTTTTTTTTTTTTGGTACCAGGGATCAAACTCAGGTCCTTGCACTTGTGAGGCAGGCAGCAGAATCACTGAGCTAAATCCCTGGCCCAAAGAATCCAGCCAAGGGCCTGGATCCCACAGCAATGTCCTGCTCAAGTTCAGCTGAAGGCCGAAAGTCCAAGGCAATGTCCTCCATGAATCTAGCCAGTGACCTACAGCAATGTCTCATGCTTGTCTGTATCAAGATTCTGCCTCAGGAAGGCCCAAAGGCCAGTGGTGGAAGCCAAAAAACCTCCACTGGTGGGGTAAAGGATTTGTGCTACCAGGCTGAGGGATCTACACTGGAGCCAGGAAGCAATGCTCACAGTGAAGATCAGAGCTTCCCTGACAAGAATAGCAAGCCAAGCCATTCCCAGCAACAGTGAGCACCCAAACTCCTCCTCCAGCCTAGTTCATATAAGGAAAACAAACAGCAGCAAGCTTCTACACTTGATCTTAGCCAAAAGGCCGAGAAGCGATAGCAGCAAGCTTCTACTAGAAAATCAACAGCCTTTGATCTTTCCCTCCAGTTTTTTTGTATGCCGTTGGCAACAATCCTCAGGTGAGTCTTCCCCACCCAGACCACACTGATTCAGTTCTAAATTGACCATTAGTTAATCCACCACACTCTCCGTGACCAAACTTTCTGACACAGATTCAAACCTGCGGTATGAGACATATTCCTAACCTTTATTTCTCCCATTTGTTTGATAAATAAACCAAATACAAGGAAGAACAATGTATACATTTTCTATTGTATATTTAAATGTAATCAGCTTACACAAAAAAGAACATTACAACAAGCCTGTATGTAACCTCTTCATTCTGCTGCTGTTCCACCCCACCTCCCCTTCCTGGGCAAAGTGCTACCATGAAGTTCTATTTCTAGTGATAAGATAAGGAAGAGCTATGTAGGAGTATACGTAAAGCATTCCTCCTTGAGGAGGCTGAGGCAGGAGGATCACAAGTTCAAGCACAGCCTGGGCAACTTGGCAAAATAAAAAATAAAAGGCTGGGGATACAGTTGTTTGAAGGCCCTGGGTTTAATCCATAGTACCATGGGGTGAGGAGTGCATAAAAAAGGGCTTTGAAGGAATAAAGAATATTCAAGAATAAACAAAAAGGATGAGTGCTTAATACAACCAGAGGGACCTAGGCATGGATCTGAAGGTACAGATCTGACGGCACAGAGCTAGAAATCATTTCTCTTTACAGTGACTTCCTTATTCATTCTGAATTTTTAAAGAAAGGTATGGACTTTCTGGTAGGAAAGAAAGCACAGACCCCAGAAGCTCTTTTGGATTTAACATTCTCAGATTAGACTGCTGACAATGACAGCTGTGTTTCTAAAAGGTCAATTAAAGAACCCCCTGAATAATGCAAGATTTGTAACCTCATAAAATGTTTTTATCCTTCCCCACTTCCTAGCAAAACAAAACTGATCCTCCATGACTTTAAGCAGAAAGCAATAGGAGAACCAAAAATCCTACTATCTTAGTCATTAATCAAAACTTTTTTAGAGATGGGGCAATTAATTTACCCTCTGCAGGTAAGTAAACTAAAAGTTGGAAATAGTTCAATCTTACACAAAGTCACAGAGTAAGTTAATGCTGGATCCCACAAGGAAAGCTATTTTTTTTTTTCCTGAGTCCCATCCCACCACACTGAGTAGAAATAGCCTATTCATACCCTGTGCCTCCCTACCCCCAGCCTGGCTCCCTTTAATTTTTGGCTTGAAATCCCTAACTATCACTCACCTTCAAAAGCATTTCTA